TCAAAACAAAGATTTCAAGATCTATCTTTGCAGTACAACACTGTGAGAAAATAAAATCCTTACCTCAGAGTCTTGGTGTAGTGCTATAGGATAAAGCAGTAGACTGCAAACCGTAAGGTTGGTGGTTCAAATCTATCAGCTGTTCCCTGGAAACCCTCTACAGGGTCCCAATAAGTAAGAATGGATTCGATAGCACTCAACAACACAACAACAAGGAAGACCAGTTAATAAAACTATTATTCAAATTTATGTAACAACCACTAAAGCTAGTGCTGGTGAAATTGAAGAATTTTATTTACATAGTTGATTATGCATTGGGCTTCTGCGGTGCCTTGAATTTACTTGATATGGCTATTCTATCCAAAGTCTTCTTAATTCTAACCAAGTGATTGGGTGGGGCCATGCAAATAAGGTATACAGGACCCTGCATAGGGATGAGTTAGTTATGCCCTCCAGCTCGGCTTAAAAGGAGTCATCTCAGAATCAGAGATGGAAGATCCCAGGACCATCAAGAAGGAAGAGCATGAGATCCCTACCTAGAAAAACATCAGTGGCAGAGGCAGTGGCATGGTGAGGCAGAGAAGCCTTAGGATCTAGACCCAATGACTAAGGAAAGTTGTATACCTCCAGGCAGAAGACTGGCTTGAAGAATGTTCCCTTTGGACAATCACAGCCTGGCTAAAAAAGCTTTGTATCACTTGTGGGAACAGAGCAGAGGCAGCTGTTAGAACAGAACAACTGTTCTAACATGCTGAATGGTTTAAAATCTGGAAAGATGTGTACCAGGTATCTTTCCACCATATTTATTCAATCTGTATGCTGAGCAAATAATCTGAGAAACTGGATTATATGTAGGCATCAAGTTGGGAGAAAGATTCAATATGCAGATGATACAATCTTGCTTGATGGAAGCGAAAAGGACTTGAAGCATTTACTGTGAAAATGATCAAAGCCTTCAATACGGACTGCATCTCAATGTAAAGAAAATAAAAATCCTCACAACTGGAATAATAAATACCGTCATGATAAACAGAAAAGTCAGAAGTTGTCAAAGATTTCATATTGCTTAAAAACCCAATCAACGCTCATGGAAGTAGTAGTCAAGAAATCAAATGTCTTCTTGCATTAGACAACTCTGCTGCAAAGACTTCTTTAAAGTGGTAAAGAACAAAAGCATCACTTTGAGGACTAAGGTGTACTCAACACAAGTCATAGCATTTTCAATCACCTCATATACATGTGAAGGTTGGACAATGAATACAGAAGACAGCAGAAAAATTGATGCATTTGAATTATGGTGTTGGTGATGAATATTGAAAGTTATCATGGACTGCCAGAAGATCAAACAAACTTGTCTTGAAGAAGTTACAGACAGAAGCTCCTTACAAGCAAGGATGGCAAGACATTGTTTCTGGTATTTTGGACATGTTGTCAGGAAGGACTAGTCTCTGGAGAAGGACATCATGCTTGGAAAAGTGGAGGGTCAGAGAACAAGAGGATAACCTCAATATGATGGATTAACACAGTGGCAGCAACAGTGGACTCAAACACAACAATTGTAAGGATGGCACAGGACCAGGCAGTGTTTTGTTCTGTTGTGCATAGGGTCGCTATGAGTCACAATCAACTTGACAGCACCTAACAACAGCAAGGAAATATAAAAAGAGAGAATGATTCACTCCAGGGATAACAAAAAATTGGGTAGGAAAGGAAAAGCTCTCATAACGACTCAGTGAGTCGGCTTTGAACAGTAGTCACAGCATCATAAGGTCAACACAAGCTAGTAAATTAATCCAAATCACCTTATAACCATAGAAACAGGAAAAGCATATGTGTAAATTGGGGAGGAAAAGAGACGTCCAAAAGGCCTAAAGCCTTGTTGTTCATAGTGGAAAAACATGGGCAATTCTTATAACTTAAAATAACAATAATAATAATCAAGATACAGCAATAGAAAGGAATCTTAAGTAGCACAGTAACCAAAAGGTCAGCAGTTCAAACCCACCAAGAAGCATTTCAGAAGAGGAGCCTGGAAATCTGCTTCAGAAAGGTTACAGTCTTGAAAACCCTATGGGGTACAGTTCCACTCTGCATACATCAGAATGACTCAGTAACTGGTTTGATCCTGGTTTCTTAGGAGTTTTATTTGAACATGGCTGGCTCCCTGTAGGTATGGAGACTGTGGAGGGAAACATTTCTGAAGAACTATTTAACTCTTTACAACATAGCTTTGTCAAACATAACAACTCAACTAAAGTGGTAATAAGGGTGATTGTGCTTACCTAGCTTAGTCTTTAAAAAATTTTTTTTTACAAAAATCTAAAGCTGATGCTGTATGTTCTGTAAAGCTACACTCAATTCACAATAAAAAAATTTTAAATAAACACTTAACTAAAGTAGATTGGGTGATTTTGCTTACATGTCTCTCAGGCTTCAATTTTTTTTTTTTTTTTATAAAAAAATTTTAAATAAACACTTAACTAAAGTAGATTGGGTGATTTTGCTTACATGTCTCTCAGGCTTCAATTTTTTTTTTTTTTTTTAAATTAACTAAACTCTATAAAGCATACATGTCAATACATCAACAAGTGATTATTTCTAGAAATGGATTCATTTAAATTTTCTTTTTTCATTTGTCTATTTTCTATTTTAAAAAAGTGATTAACATAGAGTATATTGACCATATATCAGAAAACAAGAGGCATTTTACTTCGTGCCAGGTGCAAATGCCTCAGGTTAGAAGTCCCATCTTTGTCGTTTCAGCTTTTGTTTGCTCTGCAGGAGCAGGGAGTCTGCCAGTTCCTTCATTCACATAGCAAATATTTGTTGAGCTCCTGAGATTCTTTAAGGTGATTCCAGGACCTTCAGCTTTTATTGGGTCTCTTGACCCAACATCCCCTTCTCCTTATGTCTTCAGTACAGATGAGGGAATCACTTGGGGAAGGTTTAACCTTAAGTAAGTTTGAACCACCTGGAGACTGATTCAGAAGGTCTGAGGTGGGCTCTGAGATGCCAAAGGCGCAAATAAGCTACTGGATTTACAAAGACTTTGCTAAAGAATTCTTAAAGGGATTGACCAAGTCTTCAGTCATTTCTGCACCTTGATCTCTCCCATTCTCTACCCTCAATACAGGTTCTATTTCACCTCCACAAATGTTGAAAAAGCCCACAAGAAAGGGCACTGGATAAACCACAGGGAAAGATGCCTTGGCAATTCACAGCAGAGCTATGAAGACAGGTAGGCCTAGGTTTGAATTGAGATTCATCACCCACAGGTTGACTCACTTAAAATGGTGATAATAATTGAAACCACCTTCTAGGAAGGGGTGGGAAACAGATGTCTGGTGGTGGTAGTGATGTGCCTAGAGTTGGTTCCGACTCATGGTGACCCAGTATAGAGTTTCTGAGACTATAAATCTTTATGGGAGCAGAAAGCCACATCTTTCTCCTGTGGAGTGGTTGGTAGATTCAAACTGCTAACCTTGAAGTTAGCAGCTCAGCTCATAATCCACTATGCTACCAGAGACTATGGAGTCCTGGTATGGCACTATGGGTTAATGAGCTTGACTGCAAAGTTCATTTGAACTGCAAAATCCGTCATTCAAGCTCACCAGCTGCTCCTCAGAAACCCTATACATGGTTGCTATGGGTAAGAACTGACTTGACGGCACTTACGCCACCACCACCACCACCACAGACTACATAAGGCCCGTGAAATCATTTGGTTTGGCCCTGTCAAGACAACCACAGTTCCAGCCATCACATTATACCAGGATTCCTTGTGTGGTGCTGTAGAATAAATACTCAACTGCAAAGTTGGGTTGAACCACAAGGTCAGCGGTTCAAACTCACCAGTTGCTCCTTGGAAACCCTTTATGGGGTCTCTATGATACAGACCTGACTCGACGGCACTTAACAATTTTTAAGTTGATAATTTTGTATGGTCTGCAAACGATGTTATACATCTCCAAATTGCCCTTGGCAGAAAACATGTTTGGCTTTCTAGGGTTAACGCAGCACTTGCAGGGTCACTTAGAACCACAACGTTGTTGGTTTAAATTCACCAGCCTCTCCTCTGAAATGCTATACTGGTCACTATGGGTTAGAATCAACTCAAGGGTACTTAATAGCAACAACACCAACAAAGATTTACAGCTTCAGAAACCCTCTGTGGGTCGGAACCGACTCCACGGCACACCACCACCACCCCTGTTCTACATAAGGTTTTTGTGCAAATTACAAGAGGGCATGAAGATGTCTAAAGAGGTTATGGTGAAGACTCAACAAACAGTGGTCATCACTGGCTGTTACTGGGGTTCCAGTCCTCTTCAGCCAGGATGGAACATCCCAATCACTTAAGCTCTTAGCCTCCTTGCCCTCCTAAAGGAAGAATGCACAAGCTCTGCCTCCTCCCCAGGAATGTTCTGGGGCCTAAAGCAGGATGTGCACAGCACCGGGCTACAGATCCTTTGGTTCTCAAAGACGTTAAAGCCCTGAGATTTTATTCTGTGAATTTCTCCTCCAAACTCACGTCAATTTTACTACTACGCAGACAATCAAAAAAAAGGGACAAGCCTGGTAGCTCCCAGATCTTGGGAAAACTGCTTTCAAGAAGGCGGCCGGCCTCCCACGTGAAGACCAGGTGAGGGTAGTTCAGGGTGTCTCTAACATTCATTAACACAAACTCATTGTCCACCAAGCATCCTGACTCCAAGATACACACCCATCACTAAGGTCCAGCAAGTTGGATCTCAACAGACATCCTGAGGGTCGCGTCCCTCTCCTCCAAACAGCCCAAGCCACGTGGTGACTAGATGTCATTCCGAGAGAGGGTCTCTTGAGTTTTGCACTTTAGGAAGACGGCGAGGTTGAGTTACTTAGGAAACAAGAACTATTCCTTGAAGCCCGTCCAAGGATCTGGGCTGGCTCCATCTAAGAAGCACCATGGTGCCGCATCTGAGACCCCCGCCATCCCCGTCCCCAGCCCGCAGGACACTCACAATCTCCGCCACGATGAGAAGCCCCGGCACTGTGCGGAGGAACTCGCGGTCGTAGGCGAAGCTGCTGCTGCTGGTGGAGAAGTTCTCTGCGAAGGAGCTGGCGGTGGTGGTGACAGTGTGCGAGCGGACCCGCTGCGGCTCCTCCATCGTGGCGCCCCTCCCGGGCTGGTCCCTGCCCGGGGACCCCCAGCGCGTCTGGGGCTGGACGCACGGCCCTGAGCCCGGGGGACAGTGGGGAGGGGGAGGGGAGCGCGGTAGCCGCGGGCAGGCAGGCGTGCCGGGGGCGCCCGCCAGACAGTCCAGCCGCCTCGCTTGTCCCACGAGTGCGTGGCAACCCCCGCTCCTCTGTTCACAAGCTCCGGCTACGCGGGCCCAAGAGCTAGAGGAGAGCTAGAGACGGAAGGCCGCTGGGCAGCCGAGGCGGGCGGAGAAGGCCGGGAGGAGGGGAGGGGGCGTGGAGAAGGGCGGGCGGGAGGCGGGCACGAGAGGGACCGCCCCGCGGAGGCGTCGCGGTCTCCGCGGCCGCTTCACCTGTTGCGGGAAACTGTGCTGCCAGAGGTACCGCGTCCGAGCCGGATCGCGCCCAGGGTCTTGGAATCCACACCCGGTCGGCCGAGCGGAGGAGAGGGCACCGTAGTCCGGGCAGTCCGCTTACCCCTTCTCAGCGCGCCCCCGGGCTCCGGCTCCTCCTCCATCGGGAGTGTGGCCACGACTGACCTGTCTCCTTCCACCTGGCAAGGGCGGGGCAGCGGGCTTTGGGAGCCTCTTAAGGAAACTAAGGACTCTAGGGACTCAGTCGCCCCAGGAATCTGCCCTTGGAACGATGACCTACGCAGGGGGTGGGGTGGTGACTTTAGTGGGGGAACTAGAGGCTGTAATTGTGACACAGCCGGACCTTAGACTGGAGATCGATGAGGCCACCAGGACTCCCTGGGAGATGGCCTGCCCTTCTCCTCCTCCCGCTGCCTCCACCAAAGCACGGCGTTATTTCCTGCCCCTCCTATCGGGAACAATTTGAGGAACCAACGTAGTCGTTGGACTTTGAGGGCCAGACGCTCTGGGCGATTTTGTAACGGGGATGCGAGGAGCCTGACTGACCGCGGCTGGGCCAGGGCAAAAGGGAGGAGGTATCCCGAGTCACTCGTCCGGATGAATGAGTGCGTCGTCGGACTCATCGCTCTGTGAAGCAAATGTTTGCAGAATGCTTAGAAGGTGTGGGTTGTGCAGTAAGGTTTATGACTGGGCACGCTTTGCTTTCCTGGAGTTGGGAGGTAAAGGAGGAGGCTCATTCAGTGAGGCAGCTTGTTAAAGGGTCAGGTTAGACCTGAACTTCCAAAACAGTCACTTGAATTTCTTCAGCTGTGTGACCATGAGCAAGAGGCTCCACCTCTTTGGACCTCTGTACTGCCATCTGTAAAATGCAGGTACTGGATAGATGGACTTCTTGCCAAAAGGGGGCATTTCTGAATGGCCCTTCCTTCTGTTTTGTGTATGAGTGGTAAGAAACATTCTGTTTTACACAGAAACTACCAAGGGGAAAGGGCATAATTCTTGGCCACAAATAGAGGATTGCTTTTGGGATCACAGCTAGGGTATTCCTGCTAGTCTGTTCCAAAACGTGTTAAAAATAGGCCACCCCATGCAAAAAAAGAGTGAAGAAAATCGAAGATGCATGAAAACAATTAGCTCAGTGTAATAATGGACCACACAAACATCAGTCTCCATTACACTGACCAGAGAAGAACTACGTGGTACCCCTCTACCGCTACCAACTGCTTTGAAAAGGATTACATTAGAAGGGCCTAGATAGAGGGAAAAACGAGTCAAAATTATTAGTACATGGAAGGGACTGCAATCATTGTAATGAAGTATGTGATTTGTTGAATGTAAAACTGATGATCTGCTCTGTAAACCTTCACTCAATTCAAAATTGTTGGTAAATGCCATCTAGTCTGTTCCTAGTCATAGCGACCCGGTTTAGGGTTTCCCAGGAATGGCTAATGAGTTTGAACCACCCATCTTGTAGTTCGAGCTGACCTTGCAGTCTAGTGCTTATCCTACAGTGTCATATCAGGACTCCCAATTCATAATAAAAAGTTATAAATAGAAATTAAGGGGGGAAAAACCACCTAATGATCTGCTCTATAAACCTTCACTCAATTCACAATAAAAAGTTAAAAACAAAAGAAATTCCTCAAAATCTTAAAAGAAACCAGGCTCACTGGTCAGATAGAAACTGGTGGAACCCCTTTGATTAAGGCCTTTTGTCACCTTTCAAGTATGGAACTAAACTCACCCCATGTCTCAATTTTCAGTCAAACAATAGAAAGGTTTATAAAGGGAACAATAACACTCCAGAGGTATGCACTTATTAGAATAACCAACCATTTGTGATAAAAGGGCATTATTTACCCAAGGACAAAGTTCAGAAGGGTTAGGAAAAAAAAAAAAAAAAGAATGGAAATGGGAAACAAGGAGGAAGTGAATGAATGATGTTATATCATAGGGACTGTAATCAGTGACATGAAACAAAATGTGTGTGCATTCTTGGTGGAAGACAATCCACAATAAAAAGTTTTCTTAAAAACTTAAAGGCACAAAAATATTGCTTATTCTTAAAACATAAAGGGAATAAGATAAAACATAAAATGTCCAGGAAGGACATTTTATCCATCTAGTCAAACAACAAAGAATTCATTTCTTTTAAGGTTACAGCTTATCTAGGAGGTAAAAGTTAAAGCTTTAAAAGAATAGCAGATGTGAAGATTTGGAAAAATTCGATCAATGAACATTTGGGTAACTATAACAAAATAAAAATACAGCATTTTCCCCTAGAGGAGTGCTTCTCTGTAGTCACTTGGACAAATAGCGTTCAACATCACTTAAGAACTTGTCAAAAATGAAGTTCTCAGATTTCACTCCAAACCCACAGATTCAGAAATTCTAAGGGTAGGACCCAGGAAGCTCTGTTTAAATAAAAAGACTGATGCTTGCTGAAAATGCAGAACTACTGAAATAGGAAAACTGACAATGCAGTTAGGGGGAAAAAGAGCTAGATGTGCCTACAGTAAATGGCTGCAGAAGCAATCTAAAGCATGAAGTATGACATTTTGTGAATGCAGGAAGACAGGAAGGAAGTCTAGACAACTCTATTTCTGTAATACAAAGGGCAATCCCTTCTCCAAACCCTTAGATCCAAATAGACATTTCAGGATCCTGATTTTATTTTTCTTTCTTTTAATTTAGAAAAATAAAATGTTGATATGCCACATATTCCATAGTACCCTCAGTAGATCTGGAGCATTACTCTATAATAAACACAAAATCAATATATTACTCTGTAATAAATACAAAATTAAATACTACAAATGTTCTACAATGGAAATATATAAATGATTTAAGTATATTTGATTTATATGTTGCAATGTAACAGATTCTTTCAAAATAAGAACCGTTCTACTTGCTCATGAATTGGTGGGTCAGGAAATGGACAGTGTTAGGCTGGAAGCTTCTGCTCCATGTGCTATTGATTGGCCAGATTGTTCTAGAAAACCAAAAAATGCTTTATTCACATTCTCTCCTTGAAGCTTGAGCTTCCTCACAGCCTGGTGAGTGTCATGGAATGAGCTGTGTCTACAGCCCCCTCCCCAAATATGTCACCTTGGCTGAGCCATGATTCTCAGTGGTTGGATAATTATGTAATGATGGAATGTGGTGGTATGTGATGTTCCCCATGATGTGATCTAATGTGATAAAACGAATAAAAGGATTAAGGATGGTCTACAATACGCTGTCTGTGATAGGATAATATCCATGTGCCTACAGGGAAGCCCAGTTAATACCACTATTTTTCAAATTTATGCACCAAACACTAAAGCCAGTGAGAATGAAATAGAAGAATTCTACCCAACTTCTTCAATCTGAAATTGATCAAACATGCAATCAAGATGTATTGATCATTACTGGTGATTGTAATACAAAGGTTGGGAGCAAAGAAGAAGAATCAGTAGTTGGAAAATATGGCCTCAGTGATAGAAACGATGCTGGAGAATGCATGATAGAATTCTATAAAATCAATGATTTGTTCACTTCAAATACCTTCTTTAGACAGCATAAGAGACAACTATACACATGGACCTCACCAGGTGGAATACATAGAAATCAAATTGACTACATGTGCAGAAAGAGAAGATGGAAAAGCTCCATATCATTAGTGAAAACAAGGCCAGGGGCAGACTGTGGAACAGACCATCAATTATTCATATGCAAATTCAAACTGAAGCTGAAGAAAATGAAAACAAGTTCACGAGAGCCAAAATATGACCTTGAATATATCCCACTGGAATTTAGAGATCATCTAAAAAACAGATTTGATACATTAAAAACTAAAGACCGAACACCAGAAGAGTTGTAGGATGACATCAAGAACATCATACATGAAGAAAGCAAAAAGTCATTAAGAAGACAAGAAAGAAGGAAAAGGCCAAATTGGATGTCAGAAGAGACACTGAAACTTGCTTTCTAGCATAGAGATACTAAAGCAAATGGAAGAAATGAGGAGGTCCAAGAGCTAAACAGAAAATGTCAAAGATCAGCTTGAGAAGATAAAGCCAAATATTATAACAAAATGTGCAAAGATCTGGAATCAGAAAACCAAAAAGTAAGAACATGCTCAGCATTTCTCAAGCTGGGGGAACTGAAGAAAAAGTTCAAGCCTTGACTTTCGTTATTGAAAGATTCTCTGGGCAAATTATTGAATGATGCAGAAAGCATCAAAAGAAGATGGAAGGAGGTGTAACAAACAAGATGGCGGATCGGGTGGAAGTGCAGTAAGGAGCTCCGCCAGCAACAACACAGAATGCCTGATCAAGCAGGCTCAGGGGATGGTCCCAGAACTCTGAACCACATATAAAGGAATACTTAGAAAGTTGGAAGGCTTACAGCTGGGAGATTTGTGGCAGAAGCAAGAAATCCATTGCTTTCTAATTTGGGATGCTCAGCTGCTCGAGGAGCAGCCATCTTGGGTGAAACCAAGCAGGGGAAGGATCAGAGTGGTCACAGATGCCTGGCAGAAATGCTGAGATAAAGGTGTGTACATTCTTTTCTTGCCGTAGCTGTTCATTGGTTCCTTGCTGTCTGCGCACCTC